TAGTGCATGTGATGAGTGCTGGATGAATATCCACACAGCCTGAATTAAATTCATGACACTAGAAACTCCTTGACAGAAATCCATACCCTGTTTCCTGTAGGACAGCAAAAAAGTCACTGCCAGGACATTTTTCCATTTCTTTTGCTTTTCCTCCATGACAAAGCAAGTGTTTGCTCATGAAAATTTGTGTGCCACAGAGTGGTAAGAAATGGACCCCAGAGCATCAGTGAGGAATTCACTCACATGTTGTGATACTTCAGCCTCAGTGCTCCATTCTTTCCAACAAGACCAACTACTGCCCTAAAGAACTATTGCCCATCTGTCTCTGGAAGTACAATGTTGGAACTGCAAGCCATCCTGTTCCTGCTGTGTGGATAATTAAAGAAGAAGAAGAAGAATTGCTGATAACGCACCTGGGTCTTGAGCAAGCCAGGGAGTGTTTGTGTGCATTGGTGCAAGGTCGGGCTGGGAAACAGCCTGAGGAGTGATTGTTTATAGAATGGAATTTAGAGTGACTGAAGACAGTCACTGTGATGGATGTGGTCTCTGTTTGGCTTCATAGCTCAGACCCATATCTGTATGCTATGTATTACCAAGCTGGAGTGAATAAAGTGGAACTAGTTGTGGAAGCATGGTGTGTGCGTGTGTATGTGTGTGTTTAGCCTCTTTCTTTACAGATGCCACAGACCAAGGAAACAAAAAGCCTTGACATGTTGCTGGTACTCACCAAAGCCAGCAGAGCTATATGTGGTTGTGCAGTATTTCTCATTGTCTTCACACTTGTAGGTTTTAAGACAGTTCCAGTTGGAGTGCTCGTTTTCACACGTGTAGCAAAACAGCGAGGAAGCTGGAGACAAAGAATGCACATGGCACTTGTTAGTGGTTTCCAGCAACGTCCTCCTGGGAAGGAGGTGTCAGAAGCCATGTCCCTTCTTGGAAAATACAAGGTGAAAAGCATGTTACAAACAACTTTTTGTGACGAGTGAAATAAGACGTTGGTTTCGATTCGTGAAGCTGAAGAAGCCAAACGAACAGAACAAGTTTTCTTTCTTTACTCAACGTTTGCAGTGATTAAAACTTGAAAACCCATTTTTCAGCCCGAGCAGCACTTCTTCCCTTCCTTCTCCCCTGGGTCCACATTGACCTGGTTGAGAGCCAAGCTGCAAAAGCAGACCTGCCCTGCAAGGTCTAGTATGATTCTGACAAGGAGAGGATAGACACTGTTCTCAAGTAACAGCTTGGGTTTTGGTGTTATTCAGACAGCAAAACGCTGTAGAGACATGATCTAATTAAAGCCTATGACACCCCTGTGAGCTAAATCATTGAGCACAGAGCCACATTAAAGGGAGTTCCCTGGGAGAGATTGCTCTGGACAATAGGGAGATTATATTTCTACCAGTGCCTGGAAGGATGTGTTCTCAGTGATATTATTAGCAGGGCTGAGCCAGGCCTATTACAAAGCCAGAAGGATGTAAGATATGAGCAGCACTGGAGTGAATCGAATCAAGCTTCCAAGCTAGGCAGTTGGCCTTGCTGGAAACACAGGCATGTGCCATCCTGTTCCCTGGATGTGGATTCACAATTGATGGGAGCTCTGTTCAGAGTCCCATGAAATGTTCCTTATTTCTGAGCAGGGGTGACAGATGCAGTTGAAGTGCTCTCAGGAAAACCTGTACCATTGTCATGAGCGGTGGAGAGCTCTAGGTTGATGGTGACCAAATTGCAAACCAAGCAGGATCCTCCTGAAATTATCCCTGTTTCAGTTCCTCTTGGTTTTCTTAATGCAGAAGCACTCTTATTTCTGCACAGAATAGCCCATTTTGGTTGAATTTGAACCTATTTTTAACACAGGAACTTCCCCCCCCCGGAATTCTCCAAAGAGTAGCTGCTGTTGATTCAAATTCACCTCTGAAGTTGAACCTGCCCATACCACTTGGTTAGACAATTCCAGAAGCAGTTTTAAGTCATCTTAGGCTCAAACTACCCCAAGTAGGAGAAGAAAATGCCTCTCCTCTATGATACAGGGAGCTTGGGTGCCTTGGGTCCAGCTCAGATGCCTTGGGTGCACCTCTGAAGCCAGCTCTGGGTGCCTTAGCATATGACTGACCATCCTGCTCCGAAACCTACCCAGATGCTCTTTTCTAGTGCCAAGTGTTGCAAGTGCACATTCTCTGCATCATCAGATAAAATCATCCTTGTTCCATCTTGTTTTTAACGTCTCTTTAACCATTCAACGCTCGCTGTTTCTCCATCACATGGATAAATTAAACCTCTCACCTCTCCTCATGGTTCCCTAACCTGAGCTGTGAGCTACGTCCTTCCATAGCCCATGCCAGAGCTATCCCAGACACGCTGCCCAGCAAGAGTGATTGCATTTACAAACCCTGCAGTTCTCTCCGATCCGCTTTTCTGCCAAATCTCACAAAGTTCAAACCACTTCCTGCTGTAGAGGGAGCCGAGACCCCAGCATGTGAACAACAGCGACTGAAATGCACTCCTGATGCAAGGAAAATCCCTCCCAGTGAGGAAACAATAACAGCTTAAACCATTATAGCTGTTACAAAGCCTTGTCTGCGTCTGGCCTCCACCCTCCATTAGCTCTAGTTTTGTGAAGGCAGCCAGGAATAGCTTTAACGGTGCAAAAAGGCTTGCAGTGCTCCTTGGGATTGCAAATACATGCACAGAGTCAATGTTTCTCAACTGGGTATTTCTACACTATGATCTAGTTATATCTGCATCTCCTTTTGAATGAGGAACGAGCTTTGAGGTTCCCATTGCAAACACCAGACACTTAGAAAAGCTCTTCAAACCTATGAACAAAGAGCTTTCAGGCTTCCAAATATCTGCCAACAGCCTGGCTTCTTAATTGCAATGTCACTGTGGGGAATAAAGTGCAATGCTGGCAGAGGATGCTGTGTCGATGCCAGCATTACCTTTATGAACAGCAACTCAAGTTTCATTCAGGAGCAAGAATAAAACCAAAGGCTCAAAACTGTGAGCCCAGCTTAATTCCTAGTACTATCATTCAGTTGCCATGTCTGTCTTCAGATGTGAGTGGTCGGAGCTTGATATTAGAGGGTGTCAGAAACCGAAGCGGCGAGCTCATCTTCTGTGGTTATGGCTACATTAGCAGAACTCACCCAGAAGCTAATACTGAACCACACTAAATATCACTTCTGATACCAAAGAACTGTACTACTAACACCTCACCAAATGCAAGAAATGCTGTCCCTGTGTTATCCTTAACTCTTCTTCATCCTCTCCATCTAGGTCTTCCAGCCTCCACAGCTCCTTACCTTGCTCAGCACACAGGACTGCAGCCAGCAGGGCAATCAGAACAGCCTTCATGGTCATTGTGCCCTCAGAGCCTGAACAATGTGGGATGGTGCACCACGGGGTGGTTTTATACCAGGACCATGGTTACTCTAGCTTCCTTTGATTACAGTAATTTGAGGTTTGGGGAGTGACAGCACATGAGATGTGATCAGCAATGGGTGTGTTTGTGCGTAGGAACCTCTTACAAGACTCCAGATAGCTCTTTTCTTCCCCTACATTTAATTCAGATCCAATCTTTTTTTCATTCCAAGGCCTTCTCCTGCTGCCTGTGTCTGCATTGCTGGTCTGGGGAACAATTTATCTGATTCAAACATCAGAATCCCTTCTTATTTCATTGGGTTGAACTGCGAAACGTGAAGCAAAGCAGAGGGAGCTGTGCCAGGCTGGGCTGGCTCATTGCTTGCATAGCAGGCATCACCTGGCATCCTCCACCCTTTCTCTCTGCCATGATATAAGAGCTTCATAACTATGAGAAATGGGAGAGGAGGCAAAAAGGGTTTTTGCTGGATTGCCCACAATTATTCAGAATGACATGGTTTAGTGTGTGGTGTCCCTGCCCATGGCAGGGGGGTTGGAACTGGATGACCTTAAGGTCCTTTCCAAGCCAAACCAGTCTGTGATTTTATGATTCTATGATTATCTCACTTGTACTAAGGAAAGTGCTTTAAGTAGGAAACCAAATGGTATTGTTTCTGCAATGAAACAATATTTATGCCTGGAGACTGTCACTCAGAGGCTGCCATGGTCCAGGCAGGGATACAGCCTGATGCTCTTGTTTTGCTCTGTTCCTCCATCCTCCAGAAGCATCCAGTGTTTCCAAGTGACAGTGTTTGTTGTTACCTGTAGACCAACACCGGACTCTGTCAGGTTTTTCCAGTCCCCCATGACCTTTCCAGTCCTTCTGGGATCCCTTTCTGCTCCCACAACCACCTCTTGCCAAATGATTCAGGATGCAGCAGTATTCACATGGGAATGGCTGCAGGAGTTACACTATGAATGGGAGGGAAGATCACTGAGAAATAAAACAAGTCAAGAAGACATCTCAGCAGACCAGAACTCTTCTTCTTTAAAGAGAGCAATGACCGAGGGGTGCTTAAAGTCAACACCTGTAAGGTCACAAATGATATGGAAACAGCATAAAGAACATCCAGTTGAGGTTTGGTTTCCCCAAGGAGTTGGTTCATAAGCCCTTCCCCAAGGAGCTGGTTCATAAGCCCTTCCTTTGACCACTTGTCTGCAAGATGCTGAGCAGATGGCCCCGTGCTCAACCCATGTGATGAGTCTTCTGCTTCCAGTCATTCTTCCTTTGACCAGGTCCTCCTTTTCTACAGCAGCTTCATCCCCCAGTGGTTTCTGTCTGTGCCTGTGCTCAGAGCAGGATGAAGGGGATGAGCATCCAGCTTTCAGGGCCTTTTCTGTTCTCTGATTTGCCCTGATCTTTAATTTATCTCCCCTTTTAGCAGGGGAAGACCCACGTGACAACTGATGTAGCATCTATACTTGGGAAATAATCTGTGGAAAAGCCATGCTTTCCAAACAAGACGTTGCACAAATACATGCATGAATGTCATCAGGCAGGAAACACGATCTGCTGGAGCATGCAGGGATATAGTAGGTATTAGCCTGTGTGTTTGTTTTAGGTATAATAGCCAGGCTTCTCTCAGCTGGCTGGAGAAATGGAAAACAAATCTTCCTTCCCTTCCATCCACATCAGAAATCCAGACAGGAAACTGAATTATCACCCTGAATTCAGCTCATCTTGGAGCCAACCGAGCAGCAAAATGCAGCTCCTCAGCAGGAAGGGAAGGAGCAACTCATGAACACAGCCCACAAGGAGGAAGAAGAAAGGCTTGGAAATCCAAACACATAAAGGAGCAGTAAATAAATGACACTGTTTAAAGCAAAGTGCAGCTGAATAGAAAACCCGCAAGTGAGAAATGGGCAGTAGGAAGTGGAAATGTGAGAAAGCATTTAAACAAATTGGAAAGAGGGAGGGCTAATAATAACAAACAAGAGAAATATTTCACCCAGCACTGCGAAGAGGGAAGGAGGGAGCTGAGAAATATGGGTGCAAAGCAACATAAATCAAAGAAAACCCATAAAGCTTGGGGGGGGGAATAATTAAAGACCCACAAAGTAAGGGTAAGAAATGGGATGGGAAGGAAGTATCAATGCTTCACTGTTTCTACTACGATTGCATTACTTAGTGCAAAATGTATGTGTAGTTATGTGCAGACACTACTCAGGTAGTAATCACAGAGCGTTTTCTACAGCTCCCTACATCCCAGTTTAAGCAGTCATTCCATTGCAGGCTCTCCTGTGGAATACAGCAAGGGCATTGCCTGACCCCTATCCTTGTGTCCTTGAAAGAGAAGGCTGGAAAAGCTTTGGGAAGCAGACTGGGGTCTGGCCAAGTCCCAGCCCCACACTATTCTTGTGCACTGTTGATACTGCAATCACGCTGTTGCTATTGCAATCACGGCCAGGGCCACTACAAGGACTCTGGGCTCCAACCAGCACCACAGCATGGTGGGGGATGCGTGTTGTTTGAAGCAGAGAAAAACCCAGGTTTTCTTTAAGCAAGGGATAAAAAAGAGCTGGAAGAAAAGCCAGGGCAAAGGCAGCCAGGGTGGTGGGAAGTGCAGGAGGTGTCAGGAGAGCAGCTTGGAGGAGTTAAAACTGCATTCCCAGGGACCTAGAATAAAAGAGAGGGGAGAGCAGCATGGTGAATCTTGCTAAAGGAACTGGGCTAGGTGCGTGTTAACCCCATGTGTGTCACAAAGGGTATTAAACAGTTAACAGAGCATGTTTTAAGACAGAAACCTTAACCCACTTCCAGCTTGGCAGCGGACAGCGTGTGCTTGTGCCAGAGCTTCGGAGCATGTTGTGCAAAGCCTGTTCCTTTTGTGTAACTGGAGCCAGACAAAGCGTGTTTTCAACCCGTGATGGGTTGAAGTGGAGCAAACTGCCAGGTCCAGGGTGATTTTAACGTCAACTCTTCCCACTTTCCCCCTTTTCCCTCCTGGAGGGTGGCTCCAATCACAGCTCTCCTCTATGGTGTGGGGAGGAAACGCTCTGCTTCAGGGTTGATGCCTCCATAGGGAAATGAGAGGGCATGGGCCAAGGTGAGAAGGCAGAAGCCATGGGTAGAGCTCCCAGTGTTCCTGAGTCACACAGATGGTGCATGCAGGGCAAGCAGTCCAGCCCAGTCCCAGACAGCATCAGGCTTATCTGGTCGTGTCCTCTCCTCCTTCATTGGCAGGTCAGGGAAGGATGGGTTGCTTCATCTGGCTGTGCAATGGCAACAGGGTTGGATAAAGGACTGAAAGTGGGGAATCCAGAACCACAGGAGGAAAGGAAGACCTGTGTGTGGTATTTTGCCTGTTCCACCTAAGGTCTTACTACTGCAGGCAGCCTGCCCTACTCTTCCTTTTCCCATAGCACATCTGGGTCTGCAGCTGACCTGGTACACTCCAAACCCACCATGTCTGGTTGAAATATAAGGTCATTTGGGTAGACTTCAATCTCAGTGTGTCACCAGGACCTTTGCTATCCAAATGGGTGAGAAACCTGAGTCCTTTGGGGCCCTGGGCTACCAGCCAACAAGGAACTAAAGCTATTTTGTCACATTCCTTTAACATCCAAGGTCCTAAGAGGTAATTCAGTCCCATCAACTTGGAGGATCATGGGGATTTAACAAACAGCACCATCATGTATGGAGTCAACTGCTGTGATTCACATCCTCGCCAATGCCCTGCCTGAAGGGCTACATCCAGATGGGCTCAGCAAACAGGGCACAAGCCAAGCCCCAACGCCATCCGTGCCACTGGACCATCAACACGGCTTGGGCACACCCCGACCATCATTGTCCCAGACAGTGCCCTGACATGGGGCTGCTCCTTGCAAGCAATTTGGAGGTAACCAACTTGTTTGTAGAGGAAAGAGGTTGGAGTTATGGGTATGAATCATCCTTCTTGGATCCAGGGCCAAGGTTTATTACTCTATGGTGGCATCTCTGCAGCCAGGAAGGGGGATACTGGGGTCCTGCAGGGTGTGAAGGAAAAAGGGGTTGAAGAAGGGTATTAATATCCCTGGCAGTGTTCAAGGCCAGGTTGGATGGAGTCTTGGGTGACATGGTTTAGTGTGAGGTGCCCCTGCCCATGGCAGGGGGGTTGGAACTGGATGATCTTAAGGTGCTTTCCAACCCAAACTATTCTACGGTTCTATGATTCTGTGATGGTTGGGAGGAGGAAGAAGAGGTGAGAGAGAAAAACCAGAACCCTCTCAGGATCCCCCCAAAAGAATTAATGGGTTGATTCTACTCCTGCTCAAGGAGGACACAACTGGCCACAACTGTGTCTGGGGAGAAATGATCCTCACAGGTTTATTCCAATGCCTAAAGGGGCTACAAGAAATCTGGAGAGGGGCTTTGGACAAGGGCCTGTAGGGACAGGCCAAGGGGAATGGCTTTAACCTGCCAGAGGGGAGACTGAGATGAGCTCTTAGGCAGAAGCTCTTCCCTGTGAGGGTGCTGAGGCGCTGGCACAGGGTGCCCAGAGAAGCTGTGGCTGCCCCATCCCTGGCAGTGTTCAAGGCCAGGTTGGACACAGGGGCTTGGAGCACCCTGCTCTAGTGGAAGGTGTCCAAGGGTATTGGAACTGGATGAGCTTCAAGGTTCCTTTAACCCAAACCATTCCATGATTCTATGACTCAAGTGTGAACTTACAACACAGCTCAATTGACAGTTCCCACATCTGTCATTGGTTTTTGTCCATGGTCCAACCCTCCTGATCCTCTTTCACTGTATGAGCAGTCAACATGCAGGCACTGAAGTGGGACACACTCTGCCACGTTTATACTGGTCCTGATCTTCCTTTGGCAACCTCAGGCTGCGATAGGCATTTGAACTGTGCCAATACAAACGCTTATGAAAGAACAATTGAAAGCTTTTCCATGGAAGATTTTAGGCAGACTCTCCAGGAAAAGTAGGTGACAGCTCCCACGTTTGTCTTCACAACTGCCTCTGTGATCACTGTGGGGTTGTTGTGTTTGCTTTGGGGGGGTTTCCTTGGATTGAACTTTCAGATCCTGGAGTTACACAGTGTTGTACACAGAGAGCAACCATCCGAACCTGCCAGGCCAGTGATACGTGGGAGAAACTCATCCACAACACAACAGTGGGAGGAGCTGGTCTTGTGGGAGCCTCTGCATCTGTCTGCAGGGACATCAAGGAAACCTTACTCTACTTATCCATTTTGCTTCAGTAAGAAATAACATGTTCTGTATCTACCCACTGTAATAGGTGAATATGCACACACTGCCCTGAGAGGCAACAGTCGTGGTATTCCATGTTGCTCTTTTTGGCTTTAATTTGCTTTAGGTTCTTGACTCATCTTTTGTATTTCAGGCCTGGAAGTGATTCTCTGTGCTGAAATCCAATAGATTGGGTGAAAGCTGAGAGTGAAATGAGGAAAGTACCTTTCTTTGTGTGTGGAGAAGCTGTGATGAGTTCCATAGGCAACCTCTCTACTCTTCATTTATTTTAGGGGCTCTGGGTCTGATGTTTCACAAGAGGGTCCCAACTGAGCGTGGAAAAACTGAGCACATGCATGGGAAGATCAGAATTATAGAAACATAGAATGGTTTGGGTTGGAAAGGGCCTCAAGATCATCCAGTTCCAACCCCTGCCATGGGCAGGGACACCTCACACTAGACCACGTCACCCACGGCTCTGTCCAACCTGGCCTTGAACACTGACAGGGATGGAGAATTCACCACTTCTCTGGGCACCCTGTGCCAGCACCTCAGCACCCTCACAGTAAAGAACTTCTTATCTCCAACCTGAACTTCCCCTGTTTCAGTTTGAACCCATCACCCCTTGTCCTATCACTCCAGTCCCTGATGAAGAGTCCATCTCCATCATCCTTGTAGCCCCCTTCAGACACTGGAAGCTGCTCTGGTTTCCCTCCTGACCCACTCCTGCTGACCCATCCAGGTACAGCATCAAAACCCCATTGCACGTTGAGAACGAGAGCTTGGGCCATCCCCTCATTACATCTAGAAACTCGTCACACCTCAGGTAATAGCCATGCTGAAACCTCCACAACTGTGTCCAAGGAGAGCAGGGCTGTCCTGAAGGAGATCCCATGGGAGGCGGAGGAGCTATAGATCAAGGCAATATCCTGGCTGAAACCATCCCAGCCCCATGGGTGTGTTCAGCAGGGCAGAGACACAAACAGGATGATGCAGATATCATTGTATTCCTCACTGGGTGAGCAGGAGGCTATTTTCCCAGGAGGGTTAGCAAAAAAGTCAAGGCTGTTGTGTCGTTTGGGGTTTATTAGTATTAGAATCATAGAATCATAGGATAATAAGGGTTGGAGAGGATCTTAAGATCGTCAAGTTCCACACCCTGTATTATTATTGTTATTATATTTCAAAAATGCTCAAAAAACCATGTAGATGAGGCCCTCAGTGATATGGTTTATGGTGGTCTTGGCAGTGCTGGGGTAATGGTTGGATTTGATGATCTTAAAGGTCTTTTTCAACCTAGTTGATTATATATGATTCTATATAGAATTGTATATCTATATATCTATATCTATATATATATATATATGATTCTCTATATGGAAAAGACAGGCATGGCTTTCCTAGGTGCATTTGGTGAGGGGGCAGAAGGAGGGAAGGGCCCTCATCAAGAGCATCCCTGCACCCTATAGCTCGGCTTTGGCTTCTCCCCCCCCATCCCCACCACTAGTGGGATATAGTGAGAGCAGCTCCCACACCATGATGGATCCCGTCCACCTCAGAGCACCTCACTAGCAACTCAGAGCAAACAAGGGCTTGTAAACCTCATGGATGACAGCCTGGGAGGGGCATGGGAACCAAAAGCCACCCACGCT